TATATATAGTATATATATAGTATATATATAGTATATATATAGTATATATAGTATATAGTATATACCTATATATGTTTTATTTCAATGTTCTTTTGAGTTACTAATAGGAATGGCCTCCAACCACACGTGTTTGGGGCGGAAAAACTGTACCCAGAGGGAACATATCCTTGTAAAGAACAATGGAATTCTTGAAATCCGGATTGCTCATCGGGAATTTCTTGAAAGAATTCAGATCATTTTGAGAAGTTCTTGTTTGTTCTTTTTCCGGTGTGCGTCAGTCAGCAGGATTCCACGGCAAATGGCGAACCATGGTGATCTTTGAGACCAGCGTGATCGCTGGTGGGCTTTGGCATATGGCATGGAGGCACGCAGCATTTGGTGAGAAAGATGATAAGCGTAGTCGTCCCTAGTAATTATAGATGGTAATTTACTTGTTCTTTTCCGTTAAAATCTAGATTCGCGTGAGTCCACCAAACGCATTTCGACTAATAAAGCTGAAGTCGGCCCACCATGTGACTTGGCCCATCGCTCTCAGGTTGGAGGCCATTGCTATTACCTCAAAAGAATATTGGTTTAATATTTTCTTAAGAGACCTTGTGCATCGCTACTAGGAGCAAGGACGCTCCTAGGGGCTCCTGGCCGTACTACTAGGAACAAGAAGCTACTAGGGGCTCCTGGCATCGCTACTAGGAGCAAGGACGCTACTAGCAGACCTTGTGCATCGCTATGTCTTTACAAGGCCCCATGACTCGGGCCTTGTCGGCATGTCCGCTGGCTGCTACGCCTTGATGGCCACATGGATCTAAAATCAGGAGGCAGTCCGTGTTCACTTAGACAAACGTAAAAATAGCGAAAACATGTTGTTTCTGATTTTCTCTTCTTACAGTCCAATCAACTTACTTTCCTTCTTATGACCTTTAAACCGGCGTTTCTCTCTCCTTTTTCCTTCGTTTTTTCCTTTTGGGATCGCGTAAGAAATTCTACCAATCATGGTGAGGGCATGTGAGATTTCAACGTGACAGAGCGTTTAGTACACAGAAGTTCACAGAAGTAGGCTGTTTGCAGCAAAGAACCAAAGAGCCAAAGTTAAACAGCATATGGTACATGTATATATATATATGCATATATACTATATACACAATATGTATTGTACACACATTTTTCCTCCCCAAAGTTTCCAGCTTTGTCCCGTGAAAACCGTCCTGAGGCGATGCACATGGCTGATGTGATCATGAATTGGAAGCAACACAGGCCTCTTGGGAAGACTCTCCCAAGCTTCAAAGGCCAAACTGGAAGAAGGAAGACGGGCAGAACAAAAGACGGTCAAAAGATCCAAGAAGAACAACAATTAGTACTGCATACAAATACATTCTCATACAAAGGGTCCTACCAGGAAGCAGGGTGTTTCCATACCAAGATGAGCAAAGCAACAACGTGAACCGACAATCTCCAAGTCGAGGTTTCAAGAATGTAAATCAACCAGATTCATTCAGAAAGCACCGTAGATGAGTGATTTTGCTACACAGACGGTGAAACGTGTTCTTCTTCACACTTTAGGTGGCGAATTCCTCGGGTGATCCTACTTCTCATGCTGCATCTTGGTTTGAACTTGAATAAACACAGGGATTTCAATCGCCGTGTGCACTCTGACGTTCTGGATACAAGAAGCCCCTATCCTGGCATCGCTACTAGGAGCAAGGACGCTACTAGGTAGGGGCTTCTGGATGCAACGGAACAAGAAGCTACTAGTAACAAGTGCATCGCTTCTAGTAACAAGTGCCTTACTAGTAGTAACAAGAAGCTACTAGTAGCTAACCCCCCCGCGCGCGGGAAAAGGTCCTAGTAGATTCCTTTGCTAGTAATTACAAGTGCCTCGCTAGTAGTAACAAGTGCCTTACTAGTAGTAACAAGAAGCTACTAGTAGCTACCCCCCCCGATTCCTTTGCTAGTAATTACAAGTGCCTCGCTAGTAGTAACAAGTGCCTTACTAGTAGTAACAAGAAGCTATTGGAACCAAATTAAAATTAAACTAATAGCTTTTTTGTTACTACTAGTAAGGCACTTGTTACTACTAGCGTGGCACTTGTTACCAGTAGTAACAAGAAGCTACTAGGAACGGAACTTCACCTCAGGGCACCGAATCGATCGCACTGAGTATTGGTTTGGATGTGGGCGCAAGCTTGATTGCGGAGCCAGACGATGTCACTGGCCATGCAGCCCATTTTGGGGGCTATTTGGCAGGCACAGGGGAGCAACTTGAGCCAGAAATCCAGTTGGAGTCGAACCTTCTTGAGCATTTTGTTGAAAAAAACACGCCAGGGCTGATCTTTGGCGTGCACTTTGTCCGGAACGTCAAAGTGACAAAGTGTGAACAAGTACTGAAGGCGGAGTTCGTGGCACAAGAGTGGAGCAATGGCTGCGAGGTCTAGAGTAGTGGTGAGATATTTGGGCCGATCCATTTAGGGACACTGTGCAACGTGACTAGACGTCTACTTCAAAGGCATAGCATTGTCGTTCGCATGCTTGCAAAGTTTTTTTTTTGCATTGTTGTGTTTTTGCGGCAATTTTTGCCTTGAGACTTTCTTGCAAAGCAGGAGGCATGAAGGTCATGATTTGATTTTGTCAACGAGTCAACTTCAGTGGATTGGTCTTCCCAGCATCTTTCAAATAAGGCAAGCTGGTTAACATGAAGAAACTCTAACTGTTCGTAGGTTCTGTTTCTTTGTCTCTAGGCCTTATTGAGAATATGCTTTTTCAAGACGTTCCCCACCTTAGTATGAACGACCTTTGACACCCAGTCACACAGGAAGATTGCATGTTCTTGGTGTCAAGCCATCCAAAGGGCAAGTTTCCCTAAACATCTAGGAACCAAATCATTAGTGCGAATGCTTCTTCAAGCTAGTAGCGATGCCCTTTGCTCCTAGTAGGGTTCTTGCTCCTAGTAGTAAGGCCAGGAGCCCCGAACGTAGCGCACCAGTTTCTTTGGTGAACTTTGAAAGCCAAACACGGCTGACCCAAACAGCGAAAGTCAGGCCGCTTTCCTTTTCGTGGGTGTGGCATGCCTCATCTTCTGCATTGTCTGGACCGGGAGAAAGACGAAGCTGTTGAACGAGTGAAAGAAGTGAAACTGAGCTCGGTCACGGCGGGACACCTTTTGTGCTTTTTCAAATTCTTTCTAGGTTGGAGGCCATCGCTAGGTTGGAATGCTTTGATGTTTTTTTCACCAGGATCTCCTTCTGGGCTCCAAGAGCAATGTGGGATGGCATGGTCCCCTGGTGTTGGGCTCGCCAGGTGGGTTGTTGTGAGCCGAAGGACGGTTTGGAAGCACCAAACCACCGACGTAGTAGCGTCCTTTGTTCCTAGTAGCGATGCCCTTTGCTCCTAGTAGCTTCTTGTTCCTAGTAGTAAGGCACTTGTTACTAGAAGCGATGCACTTGTTCCTAGAGACTTTTTCTTGTTCATAAACATTTATTCTAGCTTAAAGTGGCCGATCGGCGTTCTGGTCACTGCCTTTCCCCTTACTCTCCCCAGTTGTCTCCCCGTCAAGAGTTAGTTGCTATGGGTCTATGCCGGTGTAACTCATTTCTTTCTCTTCTGTACTTTGGATGACCTTTTGTTCTTCCTTTCTTCCTTTCAGTTGGAATTTCATGAGCACATGGCATGAAGGTCGATCGCCGTCCGTTACTTTCACCCTCAAATCACCAGGGATCCCTAGAGCCGCCGCGAGAAAGGTTTCGTGCGAGTTTGGTAGCGGAGCCCTGCACCACGCAGGGCTCCCGCGCGCCATAGGCTGTTCTGCGCGGTGGCTGCCGCGCTGCCTGACCTCGACCTCAGGCCACCTTCGAGAACGAGCTGTAAGACCAGGAACACCACGACTCTGCTTCCTGGCATCCGTTTCATCACGCTTGTGGCGTGCACTTGCTTTCACTTCTACCAGCTGACGGTAGACCACCACGTGATCCAGAGAGCCCTGCGCTACCCGATTCAGGTCAAGAAGACTGTGAGGTTCGAGCTCGATCGCAAGACGCTTGCCTTGCAGGACGCCCACCAGTTGCACTACTACACGACCCTGAAGTCGGAGCAGTACAGGACCTTTGCCTGTCCTTCAGCATCGATGGCGACTTTGCCATCGACAGGAGTCCCATTGCAAGAGTGCCGCAAGGACTGTCCGCCCGGTTGGGCTCCTGGGATACCAGATTATCCCCTTCGTCAATATTTTGACAAGCTGAAACTCTGGTATAGGATCTACGACGGACCTGACGAATCAGTCGGACCATTGGTAGCTGGACGCCTTCAAGGAAGAGCTCAAAAGATAGCTTTGAGCCTTCGTCTCATCCGCCCCGACGGCAACTACGACATTGGCGACAGCGCCTTAGTTCGACTGTCAGTGGACGAAGTCCGTGACCCCATTGATCCAAATGTCATCTTGCAGCACCACATCCCGAGCGGCATCTCTGCCTTGGCGACAGCTCTTCGTGCCGCATTTGGTCAGTCCGACCAAGAGATGACGACCACCGCCTTGGAAGCTTTCTTTGAGCTTCGAAGAGGAAAAATGTCGCTTCAGGACTATGCGGCAGAATGGGAGCTTCGTCTGGAGGAGGCTCAAGTCCGTGCGGGCTTGGAGCTAAACAACGTCGCAAAAACATACCTCTTCTTCCGCAACAGCGGATTGCCCGTGAAGTTCATTGAGGATGTGAAGATGCAGATCCATGGAGATATGAGCAGGTTCGATGAGGCCAGACGACTCTCTCTCCGCATCAGCAGCAGAGGAGATCAACAGTTCTCCACCGATCTCTACGCATCAAGCTCCATTGGTTCCATGGCCGACAACACCACCTACGAGGACTACTACCAGGACAGTTGGGATTCCTGGACATGGGACGGATGGCACGCCTCGGACGTGTACTATGATCAATGGGTCGACGACCATTGGGCTGACTCTGCATGGAGCTATGACGCCTGGATGAGAGAGGGAGAAGAAGAGGAGCTATGGTATGATGCACAAGGCACAGCTTCCGAATGGCACAGCCCTGAACACTACGATATGGCCGCAGGAGATGAAGCTGAAGAAGCACCTGCCGTCGAGGACTACCAGGGCACCAATGATGATCGATGTTTTGTCTGTGGCTCCAAGTATCATCGAGCTGCTCAATGCCCTGTGAACCATGGACACTCCGGTCCACCTGGCAAAGGATTCCAAGGAAAAGGCAAAGGTAAGAAGGGCAAAAGCAAAGAAGGCTTCGGCAAGAACAGAAAAGGCTTCAAGGGCAAGAGCAAGGGCAAAGGCAAGGGCAAAGGCAAACCCTACTACTATGACGACTACTATGCCTACCGACGCCAACCTGACCATGGACTCTTTGCAACAAGTTCACCTACAAGGTCATCCTCATCCACCACTACCAGCAAGACGATTGTACAAGAGAGTCCACCACGACAAGTTGGCGAGCTCTTTGCCTGGCGAGGATCAGCCCCCCGTTGAGGAAGAGAGTGCCACCACACCAAGCACTCCACCTGCTGATCCAGCCAAGAGAAGCCTGAACTTCGCGACAACGTTGCACACCTCAGCGGATGTGTTCCACACCGTCCAAGGTCACAAGAGACGAGGACTTCTCATTGATCCAGGAGCAGCAGCCGGCCTAGTTGGAAGTGAGACCTTGAGAGACATCATCGAGCACTGCTATCCCAATGCGCACCGAGAAGAGGCAATTACTTGGTCTGACTCTGAAGCCACCATCACCGGCATCAGTGGACAACCAGATAAAGCTCTTGGCAGAGTTCATTTGCAGCTGCCACTGAAGGACCTGGGGGCCACCTACACGGCCGATGTCATTGGGAACGCAGGCTCGCTTTGTCCGGCTCTGGTTGGCAATCCTGCTCTATGTGAAATGAGAGCATCGCTCCACTCCAGATGGTTTGACAACAACGATGGCCTCTTAGTGACTTGGGACACCAACAACTCAGTCAAACCAGAAATGCATCTGTTTCGATATCTTCTCACTGATTCTGGTCACTACCTCCTCCCTTTGGATGAGCAAGCTGAAGTACCAAGTCAACACTATGAGGCTTGCCACTTCATTCGACATCTCTCCAACGTGTCGAAGACCAAATGGCCAGATCACGCTTACACGTTCTGGCAATCAGTGACTCAGACCGAGGCAGACCCGAAGCAGAAGTGGAGGTCCGACGAGCCACCCAAGAACAAGGACACCAATTCTCCAAAACAGGTGTCTTTCGCTGACAGTGAGCTCACGGATTCAAAAGAGGCAGATAACACTTTCCATGAGGCTGAGATTACAGAGGCTGTTGAGAAAGCTTTAGATAGCACATCTGAGGAGGCAATCTCTACAGCGATAACATCATCTAGCCCAACTGAGGAGTCAATGACCAAAGCGATGACACCATCCAGCACATCGGAGGAGCCTGTGTCCACAGCAATTGATGAAGTGTTTGGCACTGGTTTTGACAAGCTTCCATTGTATGCAAGAGATGATTTTCCCTCGTATCTCTCTTCGAGTGACCTGACACGGCTTCACAAGGACTACAAGGCAATGCCGGAAGAATACTACACTCGATCTGGCAAGAGAGTTGTCACACCACAGAACTTCAACACCTGGCTTGGTGAAGCGCGTCGCAAGAAGGTCAAGTGGCATGGTTGGGACATTGCGCATCCAGATCATCAGAAGATGCTCGATCAGGCCTATGAGACGCGCTGCCCTGGCTTCCTACTGTGCTCACCTTGCTGCAAGTTCTGGAGCATCTCGTCTTCAAGAAGAGATCGACAAGAGCTCATGAAGGATCGAGAATCAGAACGGCCAGCCTTGGTCTATCTGCAAGACAAGATGTACCAGCAGACCATTCGTCAGAAGATCTACTTGCTGGAACACCCATGGAGTTCAGCATTATGGACTGAGAGCATCATGACCGAGAACAAGACCTTATCGACGAGCCAAGCGCACTGATCAATGTGCTTTTGGAGCATGTGCAGAGAACAGGCAACCGATCCTGAAGGCCACTGGTCTAGAAGCCAACTTCAAGCTGAGAGCTAGTCTCAAGCGTTGCAATGGTCATCGAGGAGTACCTCATCTACCACTTCAAGGACAACACCGAGGAATCTCACGGACTGCAATGGCTGCCGTCTATCCTGTGAGATTCTGCCGGGCGATCGTTGAGGACATCCTCTACCACCTACAACCGCGAGGCAGCTTTCGACCCAATCGCTTGAATGCCATGTGGAGATCTTCTACAAGTGTGAGCGATGCTCTATGGGAAGAGCTGCTTTACCATTCATGGAGCACTCCTTCATTCCTGGAGAATGTCGCTATGGCAGACATCCAGACAAAGCGCCAGCGACACCAAGCATGGCAGCTAATCCACTGGAGGACTTCAAGCGAGCAGCAAAATCTCACGCATTGGCTAAGAAGGTTGAGCTCAACTACCCCGAGGACTTTCACTTCACTGCGGAGGAGGCAGTGTGGATCAAGTACCTCATGTGTGAGATCATCAAGTCCAGCTTAGCTGTTTTCGATGAAGCCAAAGGTGAAGACTACATCTACTGGCTGACTGATCCATCTCTGCTGATGGCCGTCAAGCATTGCCTGAAGAAGATCATGCATGTCCATGGAGTACATGTGACACTACATCCATTCGTCAAGGCTTTTCCAGAACCACACCTCTCAGCAGAGAATGCGCCACTTCGCCTCATTTGTCGTGGCACCTATGAGAGCTGGCAACTTTATGCTCTTGAGGATCTGAGAGAACTTTCTCCAGCCCAACAACGAGAAGCCATTGATGAAGAGCATTGGATGATCACCTTCTTCGGCAACAATGTGCCGCCATCGACGAAGGTTCCTGGAACACCTGCTCCTGGCACACCAGCAGTTGCAGCACCATCTACGCCAAGACCTGCCATTGCTGATGCTGCTCAACCAGAAGAACCAGCTGCACCTTTGGCAGTACAACCGTATGATGAAGTGGGCACTTCCAAGGCAATAGAGCTGCGCACCATGAAGCCCCTCTACAGCATCAAAAGAGTCCTTCATCGTCTACCGCAAGAAGTCAGCAAGGACACTGTGAATGCCAAGAGAATGCTGCTTGGTCTTCATGAACGACTATGGCGTGCCAATGCGACAGATCTGGCGAACCTGTTGCTGAGAGCAGGCATGCCTCCTGCTGTGGTGGAAATGGCCCATGAAGCAGTTGCCAACTGCACGATCTGCAGGAAGCACTCTCGACTACCTGCACGACCAAAGAGCAAGATTTCGTTGGCTGCCCATTTTGGAGATGAGGTGGAGATGGACATTTTCTACTTGTGGTCCAAACCATTTGTTCTCTTGATCGACGTCGCCGCCCGCTACAAGATCGCCTATGAGACACCGAGTCGAGAGACGGGTGAACTGCTGAAAGGACTTCTTCACAGATGGATTTCCATCTTTTTGGTCCTATGAGAGTTTTGACCTCGGATCAAGAGAGCGCCATTATGTCATCCACAGCTGCCATCGAATTTGAACGCCTTGGAGTGACACGCAATCCAAAAGGAACCACTGCAGGAGAAGCTGGACGACAACATACCGGCACCGGCCTTGTGGAAAGACATGTTGCTTTGATCAAGCTGACCATGCAGAAGGTGAAGGCCGAATGTGATCGACAAGGTCTTCTGGTGGAGGATTCAGATGTGGCCGCCGAGTCAAGCATGAGTCATAATCTTTGCTTGATCTACGGAGGCTATTCTCCATGCGTGGCAGTGTTTGGAGTGGTTCCAAGAGCCTTCTATGAGTTTGAGACTCCACAGATGACGGCAATCACTGGAGCAGCAGATCGAGATGCCACTGTCTTCGAAACTGCACTAAGGCTTCGTCAAATTGCTCTCACTGCAATCCAGCAGTCACTGGCTGAAGATCGCTTGACACGTGCCACTCTTCACCGCTCTCATCGAGTGGATACCACAGAGCTTGTTCCAGGCACCAGCACTGTTGAGATCTACAGAGATGCAGCGTGGAGAGGTCCAGCCACACTTCTTGAAGCGGATCAAGAAGAAGGAACTGCCATTGTCAAGCACCAAGGAAAGCCTTACCTGATGCCACTGCGATTTGTCAGACCATCGAAGGGCGTTTTCTACAATGTGGACTCCTACACGGGCACCAGCCTATACAAGCTGATGACCATGACAGAAGAAGTTCAGCCATACAAGCAATCGTTGTTGGCTACAAACGTGTTCCGACTTCATCTGGCATCAACTGGCAGAGCATTCCACTACCTCCAAACGAAGAACAACAACAATTGATGAAAGACTTCGCTGACTGGCAGAGCTGGACTCAGCATCCGATCCACGGACTGGTTTATGGTCAGGGCCTGAAGACGTTGACACCTTTTCCAGGCACCTATGGCACCGTCTTTGTCTGGCAGAAAGGCACAGGAAATTTTGTCAAGACGAACAAGACCAATGACCTTCAGATGAAGCTCAACAAGATCCACGAATCACACTGGGACTCACTGTGCGTCATCTACTTGTACCACTATCCCAATTTCATTGAGGATGAAGCCAAGACCACTTCCAAGATGAAGGCTGAGTCACACAGCCTACCAGTGTTCCTCATGTACCACCAGAACCTTCTCAACGCATGGAGTTGGAAGATGAGCTTTCATCAGTCATTCCTCATTTGCCACAGAAGAGAGAGGAACCAGCATCACCGGTCCTACATCCTGAGCAGGAGCCAAAGAGGAGCAGGTTGGAGGGCAACTTCACGACTGTCAACACCAACCACCAGAATCTGCACACTCTTCACTGGCTCATGGACAGGCAACGTAAGCACCGACTGCATACTCAGGACCTATGGGCCGATTACTACAAGGTTCCAAAGTGGTTCACTGGAATGACGTTCAAGATGGTCATGGAGAATTCCCAGAACAAGCACGAATACAATCTTCGCACCAAATGTTCCAAGTTGGTGGATTAGTATGGCAGCAAGCATTGGACTTTCTTCATTGAGCTTTCTGCCCATGCCGTTGGAAGCTATGCATCAGTCACTGCAGAAGACAGCATTGCTGAAAAGGACCTTCCACCAATTTGGCCAGAGGTCGAGATTGCAGATGAGAAGGAGATCGCTCAGTTCGTTAGCGAGAAAGCCTTTGTCGTGATCATAGATGGCACATGGGTCCGCAGATGGAAATGGAAGGGCAATCAGCGGATCATCAAATCCCGCATGTGTGCCAGAGGATGTTTCGATCCTCAGAAAGACTTCCTAGCCACTCGATCCACTGCGGCATCACGACTGTCACAGAGAATGCTGCTGTCAACTGCCGCCGTGATGCGTGAAGATCCTGAAAGCTGGGACGTCAGTGGGGCCTTCCTCAAAGGATTGACCTTTGACCGCTTCAGAGAGATAATGTTGAAGCAGGGCATCAAGTCTCCAACGAGAGCAGTGGTTTTGATTCCTCCATGGAATGTTTGGCGCCACCTGGCTACGGCAGATCCAGAATTTCATCTGGAACCATGGGAGATTCCACTGTATGGCTTGTGGTGCAACAAGCCCATTTACGGCTTGAATGACGCCCCTGTCGCCTGGCAACTGAGCCTTGGACAGTTTCTCCAGCGCAACAAAGGTCATAGCAGCAAGTTGGACGACAGCTTTTACTTCTGGAAAGATCCGTCCAGTTCGACACCACTGAAAGGAGCGATGACCACTCATGTAGATGATCTAGCTGTTGTTGGCTGCTCAAAGTTCAAGGAAGAGCTCTACCGGGAGATGTGCAAAGAGTTTGGTTCCATCTCACGTGAACATTTGCCGTTTCAACACTGCGGCTGTCAATATAGCAAGACACCCACTGGGTTGAAGATGGACCAATCCACCTTTGCATCGAAGCTCAAACCCTCAGACAATCCAGAAGGGTCTGATGACCGGGCACTCACACCTAGTGAGCTGACGCAGTTCCGTTCAGTGCTTGGAGGATTGTTGTGGCTGCGCAGCACGAGATTGGACATCATTTCTGAAGTTGGCACCCTGCAGAGTGTGGTAACCAAAGCAAGGGTGAGAGATCTTCGTCAAGCCAATCAGTTGGCCAAGAAAGCATGCACAGCTGACAAATTGAATCTTGGGCTTCATTTCCGACATTTTCCTCCTGATGTTGGCCTTCGTATTCAATGCATTCATGATGCTAGTTCAGCCAGCAAAGGAAAGAGCTACGCCCAGGAAGGCATGATGATCCTCCTCATGCCCGAGCTGCCCGACGAGATCCTGCGTCAAGATGATGTCACATGTTCAGATGAGGACATCTCCAAAGTGTCTGACTATGGCCACCTCCTGTTCAACCACGGAGGCAAAGCTAAACGAGTGTCCTACAGCACCTCACATGCTGAGACATTGTCAGCCATTGGAGGCCTTGAAAGCAGCAGCATGGTGGCAGTTCGCCTCACTGAGCTATGGATTGCAGACCCCAATCCTTCACTACAGACGCTGACGCCGTACCAAGAGCAGGGCTCATCACTTTTCCCTGTCGACAGTGCAAGAGACTGCCGCGACTTCTTGGAGTTGGCTACAGGTGAACGTTCAGTACCTCAGGACAAGCTTCAACGCTTGTACGTGCTTGCGTTCAAGGAGGCAAGAGCTACTGGCAGGATCAGGTTTCTGATGTTGACTCCAACAGAATTCATGTTGGCAGATGGCCTAACCAAGGTCATGAACCCGCCAAAGCTTTTCCAGTTTCTCAGCACCGGCTATGTTGAGTTTGGCAATGTCACCAAGCATCCAACATTGATGCGCCGCTTGCCTGTACTTCATGAACTACAAGAAGAAGATTTGTTCAAAGATGATGCAAGCCTCTGGAAGGAAGCATATGAGGGACGACCAAAAGTCTCAATGCAGAAGACCGCGATGCTTGCTACGCTCGGCTTGGCAGCCAAACCTGTGACAAGGACCTTGTTGGCGATGACCGCCTTGACCTCACAAGTTCACGCAGCAACCTCAGAGGCACCAGAGACCACATGGGGAGAGTCATGGAGCTTTCCTTTCTTCATCCCGCTCACCTTCATCCTTTTGCGTACCTTGGAGTACCTGGTCACCTGCTTGTGTCGTGTTGCGATGAAATCAATGAGTACACCGATGGAGGCCATGCCTACCTCGCTGAATTCGCCTACGGCAACTCCGATGACAAGGAGAATGAGCAGAACGCCTGAGAGATTCATGTCGGAGTCCCGGCATGGAGCGAACTTTGAATCTGGAGGACACGACTCCAGTGAGTACGATTGGCCACGAGCCAGAGGCCCGAAGCCGAGGAACCAATCGAGTTCCTGAGAAGATTTGGATCACCAATACCGGTGTTTGTTTCCACCTTCGACCGAATTGCAATGGGCTCAACCATGGAAAGCCGTTTTCTAAGAAGATTTGCATCCACTGTTTGAATCACGAGAGCAGAGCCCAAAGCAGCAGTGGAGTTGAAATTTCATGAGCACATGGCATGAAGGTCGATCGCCGTCCGTTATTTTCACCCTCAAATCACCAGGGATCCCTAGAGCCGCCGCGAGAAAGGTTTCGTGCGAGTCTTTCATTTTCTTAACAAGACACTTGTTTGCCTCCAAGAGGTTGCTGGGGTTCGCCCCGCCGTGGAAGGCCTTCTCCTATCCCTACTTCGGGGACCGCGAATGGCATTGCATCCGCTGCCCGGATGAGATCTGTATCGCAGATTTCACAGCGAAGCTTGAGACAAGTTTGAGCCCAGCCGGGAATCCCAGACGTTTAGAGACAGAGAGAGTTTATCAACTAGCAAATGGTACCGGGCTTGCATGGCGAGAACAGCTTTCTAAACAGAGAGAAAGGAGTTTCGAACCTTTGAGCAGCAACTTTAGCCTTGCGATAGAATGGATGACTGCTCTGAAAGCGGGAATGACAAGTGACGGGGGGGATGAAATGGAATGAAGGAGAGAGCAGAATGAAGCGGTGCTCTTGTTTTACTGGTGGAGCGTTGCAACTTTCCTCCGCACAACACATGACCAGGTCAGCTACATCGCATGTAGCTTGGATGCAAGAATGCGATGTGAACCTAATAGCGATGGCCTCCAACCTAACTGCAATGGCCTCCAACCTGAATGCGATGTGTGACTACATCTTGTAGCAGCATTGTGATTGCGTGCTTTTCACCAGTGCCGAGTGCAGGTGATCAAGGTGGCCTCTGGTGGACCTGATCGAACTGCCAGTTTTTCACGGGTTCCTCCGCCTCGGGAGTTTGCACATGTGGTATGCCTTATGATGCCCGCCGTACGCTCGTGTAATTTGCATATATTTGGACTAAGTGAGGCGGTGAGGTGGGGGAGGTGGTAGTTCTTTTTAGATACTGCAGCATGCACCAGCATGCACTTTTCAGTTTCACAAGCCTGAATTCAGGGACATTGCAGAGCAATGTATATCCTGTATATCCACCAAAGACAGGCAGAGATGTCGAATAGTCCAAAAAGGTTCATTTGAGTGGATAATCCACAAATGTTAGAGATAGGCATATCATTTTAAAATATGTTTTTACGTGTATATCATTTTCCAGGTCAAAGTGCCTTGGCCAGTGGTGACTGTGGATTGACCTTCTTCTTTTCTCAGGCCTTGGGCAGTTTGTCGGCCGTACAAAGACATTTTTTTTTAGCCCAGGGGGTTAGGCCGAGGTAGCTAGTAGCTGCTAGTAAGCTACTAGCTATGCTAAGACGCAGGATAGCTCACGCTTCAAGGAAACTTCCCGGCCTGAGGGTGGGGGGAGCTTTCTTGAAGAGGCACTCGCACTAGTGATTGGGTTCCTAGATATTTAGGGAAACTTAAGACTTAAGTGGACCCAAGACTTAGTGAGCTGAATGCAAAGCTAGAGCAGCTAGTGGCTGAACAGAGGCATATTTCATCAGTGTGAGAGCTATCCTGTCGTGTCACCCGATGAAGATGGTCCTGGCATGTGTCACATGTGTCGTTAGGCCTTGGACAAAGTTGGACGTGGTTTGTTCGTGAATTTCCAATGCCTTTTCTACGGCTCTACTGCGTCCTCTTTTCTAGCTGACTTAGCTACTGTGTCCTCTTCATACCTAGCTACTAGGTTGGAGGCCATCGCCACCATCAGCTACTCCTAGTGATGCCTAGCCCTGACGACACGTCAAAAAACGTTTTGGTGAGGCTTCAGAGATGGAAGTGGCCTTGTCAGTGCCGGGGGTTCGGAGCTGAGAGGGCGCCACTGAACAGTGAGAGCCAGTGACGTTGTCTCCGAGGCTTAAAAGGATGGCAACTATACTGAATACTAATTGTCTTAAGACATCTAAAGACCGTAAGAAAGATGTGAGCTTAGTAGTTCTTACTTCGAATTTCTGCGGATATTTTCAACTTATGCACGGCTTTCGTTTGTTCCATATGCTTTTGCTGGATCTCAGGTCCGCGGCTTTAGCCAAAGGTTCTACTTCTCTGGATCGTGCGGAGCCATGGAATGTCGGTCGATTGGACGATGAACACACCTGGCCATCAACCTAATAGCGATGGCCTCCAAAATAATGGGCAGTACAATAGCTGCACCGTTCTGTCAGGACATGCACACATTCGAACTCTCAACCTGCCTGCAAGAAACATGAACTTGCCAACATGCCGTACGGCTCTTTCATCCAGAGGACCATCTCAAGATCACAATGCTTTCGAGCTTCTAGTTTCTTCTTCAAACCCTGTCCAACACAGTCTAGCTGCAAGCCTGCTTGGCACAATACTCCGGACCATTCTGAGCTGACACCCACAAGTGTCTTCACAGAGTTAATGTTGTGCTGGAGAGGTAACTGATTGCTGAAGCCCCAGCTCACATCGTTAGGCAGTTAGGAGACTTTCCTGTCCACTCCGGACAGTTTCCCCCCCAACATCTAGGAACCAAATGAATAGTGCGAGGGCTTCAACAAGCAGAGCATAACTCGAGCACAACCCTTCCTTTTGAGAGTCGCAGTGCAAAGATAAGCAAAGGTAAGCAACCAAAGCGAAGCATTTTGTGCGCATCATGCGCATCTGAGTTCTATGAACTCGCGCGAATTTGAGGTTCTGCAACGGCGTGAGCCTCCCATCTGCGACGTGTAGTCCTGACGTTTGTGGTCAAGGTGGGGCACTTCTGGGTAGCCTATGTTTGTTCAAGCTGAGCCAAACATGGCATTTCGAAAGGAGAAGAAAAGGGTCAGATGGATTTTGCATTTGTTGCTTCTTCTTCTCTTCAGTACTCATGTTCCAATCTCCGCCCAGTCTGCATATGTTCCTGAGGCTATGAGGCGATACATGGAATGATTGGCATGAAGTGTGCGACGGAGGTCGGCCTCAGACGGAACCGTCAGAACTCCAAAGGAGCCGTCAGCCTTGGACTTGTCTAAACTGCTCCGTCGACAGTCTATGTCTACCCCGTGTCTACTATTGTCGAAGCTACTTCCTGCTTTCAAATCTTCTAGGGTGGAGGCCATCGCCCATCGCTAGGTTGGAGAGCTCTTAAGTTGGCCATTGCTAGGTTTCTTTTTTTCAAACGGAGCGCCTTTTGGAACCAGAGGTCCGGAGTACCGTTTAGTAAGTCGGGGTTCTGCAACCCGAGGTCTGTGATCCCACCGAATGCTGCCGGGAATTGCTCCTTGAACCTGTTTTGGCGAATTCATTCGGTACTTGGAGAGACTTGGATCAGACGGATTTTTTTTTACAGTAATAGTCGCTAGTAGGTTGGAGGCCATTGCTATGATCTCAGTTTTCAAGGTACTGGAAGCATCTGGAAGCCTTGTAAAAGTGTTGTCCATGACCAAATCAGCAGTCTCAACATGTTTGGTAAAGGAAAAATAAACGCTATTAGGTTGGAGGATCGCTCTGTGGGCGTTTGTTACTAGTAAGGCACCTGTTACTACTAGCGTGGCACTTGTTCCTAATAGCTTCTTGTTACTACTAGTAAGGCACTTGTTTCTACTAGCTTCTTTTGCCACAGTTTCTTTTTTTGTTCACTTGCTTCAACAGAGATGTTGGTGCCAGGCCAGGAGCTGTTGACTATCCCAAAGTCCAGCTGAACACTTAGAAACGATGAGAAATCAGAGTTGCCGTTGCACCGTGCGGTCTTGGGACAAAAGCCTTGCATAATGTTTGGCCCAAGGTGGACGTGTCTTACGTGTTGGAGTAGTTGAGAAGTAGGTTGAAGGCCATCGCTAGTGGGTTGGAGGTCATCGCTAGTAGGTTGGAGGTCATTGCAATTAGGTTGGAGGCCATCGCTAGTGGGTTGGAGTCAATCGCTACTAGGTTGGAGGCCATCGCTAGTAGGTTGGAGGCCATCGCTAGGAGGTTGATCGCTAGTGGGTTAGAGGCAGTCACTTGTAGGCTGCGTTTATCCTTCTGATGTTGGAGTGAAGTGTAGACGTGGAGACATGTTTATGTTGTGATGATGTGTGGTGAGATGAGTGAGATGATATTCAGGTTGTGATTTGGTGAGTGATGAAGGATAGCAACCTTTGCAGTGCGGAAGTGTGCGGCACAGTTTTGATATGAAACCCTGGTGATAGGCACGCCACGGTCAGCTTCGTCACTCACAAATCACCACAAAACACATCACCAGACTAATACACTTCACAAAATTGCACTTCGCATATGCCACCAAACTGCACCCCAACAACGTGCCTTCCCGACGAAAACCACAGTGTTTTCCATGCCATACTTTAGCATTTCCTCGTGATTTTGGCACGTGAGATCTTGGAATACGCAAAATGTGGAGAGCCTACCTCCGCTTGATACATGTCTTCATTACGAAAGCCAGCCGATAGGCTAGGCTTGAGCTCTTAGACCGAACGAAGTGAGAAAAGGGGGTGTGGGGGGGGTAGGCCACGAAAAGGCACCATCTGGAGCTTGCCTGGGGAGAGCGCTCCAAAGCGAGGGTCAGAAAAGCAGTGAACATGGGGTCTGGTGATGCGAGTGATGCAATGGACGCCGAGTAGTGCATCATTAGCATCACGAAGGTCTGTGAAGGCTATTTGGATAATGGGCATTCAGCACTGGAGTGGAGATAGGCATCCATGTACAGAGCAACCATCCTAGTCTCTACTATACCTGTACTGTCGAGCGGATGCTTCTCGCAGCGTCCACGTGCACCGAACGTTGTTCCGGCTTGGCCGCGCAGCTAGATAGATACAGAATAGATAGAGGTTGTTGGTTGGCAGCGACAAGTCACTATCAGAACAGGGGCCCGTGTAGCTTGCAACTTGGTGTGGTGGCGTGAAGAACTTGCTGCTTAAGGATTGGTTATAGTCACGGACCTATGCCATACTTTGAGACATATAGTTCCTGCCATCCTCCTAGTCATCCTGTCAGAGAAATCTCCTTGGATGTATTGGGGCAAGTATGGTAACTGGTTGGCAGCGACAAGTTGCTATCAGAAAAGGACCCCCTCTACATAGCAACTTCTCTGTGTTTGATGTCTCTGTCTTTTATGACTCTGTGTCTCTATGTCTCTGGGAAGAGGGTGTAGCTGCGACGTATGATTATTTTTTAGGCGGATCAGTGGCATAAGCCCAAGGAAAGTCCCCAACAGCAAGAAGCGCCACTGAGACAGTCTCTTCGCTGTCCAAGCCCTCCTCTAGAGCCTTGTCTGCTTTGGAACCTGCTCCGGAACCTTCTCCAGAACCTCCTCATGGACCTGCCCCGCAACTTCTCCCGAACCTTTTGCTATGTAGCAAATGACCCTCTCGTCTGGCGGCTGCTGGCTTTCGTTCCCCCCCTTCTCAGCAAAAGACAAAACCGGTCTAAGCGTCTAAAGAACAAAGGGATTTGATGCATCCATGTATCATTTACTACTATATATGTTATATGTTCACTTTGTTGTGAAGCGTTCTGATTGAGGTCTTGCCACGGCCTCGAGCGTCACTGGCGGAAGTGCCACTTGGCCAAATCGAAATCATGTTAATTTTAATTTGCTGTTATTTATCTCCTTTTTGGAATTTTGATGACTTGATGACATGCATGATCGAACATCTTGCTCCACATCTCCCAAGACCTGTCAAGCTGGTCCCCTTTGGTCCAATGCAAAGAGCAAATAAAATCAGATTCAGATTAGTAGATTTTGTCAGACATATGTTTCATGTGTTATTTTTTCATTGTTCAATTTCTTCCAACGTCAGAGATGTTCCATGTGTCCGTGTTTTCGGTGGCTTGGGAAGGCCCTGACTTACCAGAGTGCGAA